TTCAGGTCTCGTGCCGCCCCTTTTCCGTGTTGCGAGCCCCTCGCCCCGTCCGCCCTCCTGGCCCCACCACCTGGGACCCAGAGACCCCCGCCAGGAGGAGGGTCGAATCTCAACCCCTCCCCGCCCCCAGGCCCCCACTCCCTGAGGTATCTCTACACCGCCATGTCCCGGCCGGGCATCGGGGAGCCCCGTTTCATCTCCGTCGGCTACGTAGACGACACGCAGTTCGTTCGGTTCGACAGCGACGCCGCGAATCCGAGGATGCAGCCGAAGGCGCGGTGGGCGGAGCAGGAGGGGCCGGAGTATTGGGAAGAGAACACACAGAATGTCAAAGTTTCTGCACAGACGTTCCGACTGGGCCTGAACATCCTGCGCGGCTACTACAACCAGAGCGAGGCCGGTGAGCAATGCGGAACCAGGTCAAGGTCAGGATCCTGCTCCCCCAGTGTGGCCCCGAGTTTCCGGGTCCAAGCCTCATCCCGGGGTCCGCCTATCTGCCCAGTGTTCCGATAAGAGCCCGCGAGGTTTCTTTTGGGTTAGTTTTCCCTTTATTCTGAAAAGGCTCTGACCAGTCACAGCCGGGAGACTTCCTTAGGGGGCGGGGCCAAGTGGGCGGGACTAATTTCAGTGGCTGGGTCAGGGTCTCACACCTACCAGTGGTTTTGTGGATGCGATGCTGCGCTGGACGGGCGCCTCCTCCGCGGATACAATCAGTTCGCCTACGATGGCGATGATTACATCGCCCTGAACCAGGATCTTCTTTCATGGACCGCGGCGGACACGGCGGCTCAGATCACCCAACGCAAGTGGGAGGCGGCCGGTGAGGCAGAGAAGAACAGAGCCTACCTGGACGGGGCATGTGTGGAGGAACTCCTAAGATTCCTGGAGAACGGCAAGGAGATGCTGCAGCGCGCAGGTACCAGGGGACGCAGGTGCCTACTGGATCTCTCGTCTGGCTAGGACTGTTGTCCCTGTGCTGGGGAGGAAAACGGGATCGACGCCAGAATACCGCCTCTCCTATTCATGGGGAGATGTAGGAATCCAGACCAAGTGCTCAGACTGGGTACCAAAGAGTGCCTCGCGCTTCTCTGTAGACAGTTAAGGGATCTATCTGTTCTGGGGATGGAGGGGAAGATTATCTCTGAAACAACTTACCAGCGGTTTCTTTGACTCTGGCAGTGGCTCTGGGAACCTTGGGGAACTCTCTCAAGCCTTGTTCTCTGTCCTACACTCAGGGTGTTGGAGATCTGACTCCAGCTTTTCAGAGTCTCTGGGCCTCCCCTCAATCCAGGACCAGAAATTCCTTTTCTTGGCCTCAGAGACCT